TTAAAATTTTGAGCATAGCAATTTATTTTGATTTTTCTAACAAAAAAATTAAATTTTTTTGCAATATATTTTACTCATATTAATAAGACTTACTGATTTTTGATGTATGTTATAAGTGATATATATCAATCATAGTTTTAGAATCTTAGCTATCAAGAGAGATACAGGTGGTAACTTTACGAACTTTTAAGTAATTTGAAACGTTTTTATTTACTTCTAATAATATTTTTATGGTTTGTCTTCTCAGTAAAGGGATAGTGTATATCTGGAAAAATTTTTAAAAGGATTAAAGATTAAATTTCCTAAATAAAAATACAACAATTATGATGTGGCTACTTAACAATTTTTCATCGCAATCCTTCTCTTCGATCTTACCTTAGTTTGAGGTAGGCATAATAATTTGTGCATCCAATTTTGTCTAAATCAAATTCAATTAGCAGAAAAATTAATTGATTTTTTTGATCAAATTAAATTATACAAAATGACGATTAATAAATTAATATGATTATAATAAGTTAATAAAGATGTATCAATGAAGTAATGAAGTGATTAGAAAAACAAATTTTGAAAATAGTTTTATTTATAATAAATCACTCATACTAATCACTTATTCTCATTTATTTAATGTTAGATCGATCATATTACTTAATGATGTGGAGCAATTTTACAAGAATTTAGATTTTAAAGTTGTAAATGAGTTGCATTTATAAATTCTATTTTGTTATATTAAATAGCATTCACCATTACCAACTTATACCAAATACTCTTATTGATTAGTGAGTTGTTCAATTTTAACTTCTCTATCTTTAATGATGTCACTCATTAAGATAATGAAGTATTCTTTAACTTTAGTAGGATCATCTTTCACTCCTAAATTTTCATAGACTTAATCACTACAATGATATTCGAATTTTTCATCTGTGAACTGAATTTCCATTATTTTAATTAATATGTAAATGGAGAATCATTACTATACACTGGAGGTATGAGCCAAAACAAACCATAGTCCATCATAGGCAAATAGAGTTCTAACATAGTTCCAATGACCCTAAAGATGTTCAAAAGCCTCAAATAGCATGATTATCCAAATTACTTTGGACATAAAGTAGATCTTGTGTGTGTAGTGGCTTAAGTTCAAAATGTTTAACCAACTATCTCTAAAAGAGGACTTTTCCAACTTTCATTTATTCTTTTAGATCTCTTTGGAGGTTAATCAATAATTGCAAACTATACATAAT